AAGCTTAATAGATGGTTTTAGGGAAAATGCCTGAAAGAGTGAAGCAGACAAAGAGAGAGCTAATGGTGGTGACAGAGAGAGCAAACAAAATAAAGGAAGAGACCCGGTCAGAGTGAGGGAGAGGAAACTTCATGTAGGGGTCAGACAGGCTGTGAGGTACACCAGAAACGGGAGTAAGGCAGACTAGTCTCAAATAAAATGAAGGTAGCGGATGCTGTGTATTAAAGGGGGGCTGTAGTGGAGATGAAAAGCTGTGTTTGTGAGAGAGCTTGAAAAGTAACTCCACTATGAATCAGACAACTGTATTGTAATGATCAGGACTGAGTCCTGATACGACATTCTAGAAAAGATCTCTCTGGGAGGCAGAAGACTAAATAACCACCAAGGAATTTGTTGAATACAGAAGTACTGGTTTTGTGTGAATGCTGATAAGCAACTACCTGCCTGGCTTATTTAACTGGAGTGAAGAAGTGATAGAACACCAAGCCCTTCTTTGGAGTCTTGACTTTTTAAATTATTTAATGGTGGTTGTGTACTTGCATTATTCAAAATAAAGAGCAGTAATTAACCTTACTTGCATCTGGGGTGTGTTTGTTGGATAGGGGCTTGCCTATAGAGGCTGTGGTTACCTGCACCTGGTGGCATCACAGTCGCGTAAAGTAGGAGAGTAGAATAGTTTATTGCCATACTGTATGTACATGTAGATTGGAATTTGTAATTGCACTGATCTCTCGGTAGACAGTACAACAGTAATGTAGACAGTACATTACAAGGATAATAAATAATTATAGGAACAATTAGTTGTTGTGGGACAATAAATATGTAGTATTGAGAAAAACACATGGTAGACTGTGCAAGCAGACTCATGTATTGAGTCTGAGGCATTGCAGTTAGCTGTTGAGGATACATACTACAGTGGGATCGGTATTCTTGAGTCTAGAAGTCCTTGCTTTTAATAGTGCAGTACTGCTTGCCAGAGTGCAGGAGGAGAACAGTTTGTGGTCTGGGTTCAGAATAATGGATTGGGCTTTACTGCAACACCAGATGGTGTGAATCTTACGATTGATGGTAAATCACTTCTTATAATCCTCAGTGCTGTTGCCACAACCCTATGTAGTGTATCTCTGTTGTGCATTATAGTATTGCTGTACCACACAGTGATGCAATGCAGTGAGGATGCTACCTATGGTGCTGCGGTAAAGGTTCATGAGGAATTGCTTCCCTGTACAGCATTTAAGCAATGCAGAATGTACAAGTTGTGCCTTTTTCATACTGGCTAGTGTTGTGAGACCAAGCCAAGTCTGTGGAGATCTGCAGGCAGAGGAACCTGAACCAGCTGACAGTTTCCACTGCTGTGCCATTAATGTTGATTGGGTTGCTACTCCCTCTGGGTCTCTTGAAGTCCACATTGAGTTCTTTTGTCTTGTTGACATTCAGGGCCAGATTGTTGTCAAGGCACCATCTTGTAAGATGCTCCACCTCACTCCTATAAACAGACTCATTGTTGTTGTTGATCAGCCCAGTAATAGAGATGTCATCTGCAAACTTAAAAATGTGGTTGCTACTGTAAGTGGTTGTAGTCGTAGGTGAACAAGGAGTATAATATAGGACTGAGACAGCAGCCTTGGGGAGCTCCAGTGTTTAGGGTCACTGTACAAAAAATATTTTTGCCAATTTTCACCACCTAAGGTCTGCTCCTCAGGAAATCCAGTATCCAGTTGCAGATAGAATTGCATAAGCTCAAATTCTGTTTTGGGACCAACTTGATGACAATTGTGTTGAAGGCTGAGCTGTAATCTATGAACAGCATCCTAACATAGGTGCCCCACCTGCCTAAATGTTCTAGGACAGTTTGTAGTACTATAGATATGGCATCATCAGCTGACCTATTTGGGCAGTAAGCAAACTAAAGTGGGTAACAGGAGTCTGAGATAGTTCAATTTACATACAATGAAAATGTCACTACTTTTATATAGGAACAGATGAGACGACAATCAATTTAAACAAATTATGAACAGAGAACAATAAATTATTTAAAAAGTTTTCTGCTAGCATGCACTTAGCCACTAGAAAAGAAGCAGCATTGTTACAGCAACAGCAGAATGCATTTTGTTGTAAGCAATGAGTGACGCCGTGTGAGGGTGTCCCAAGACACTTTTTATAAATACGATAGATAATACTTTATTAATCCCGTAGGGAAATTGATGAAAATTATTAACCCTTTACAACTTCTTGCATTAGGAATTATATTTTTGCATACCCCAGCTTGCTCTCCATGAGACACACACACAGATAGGGAGAGAGCCTGGGGTCAGAGCACATGATCTGCCATTGTATGGCACCCCTGGAGCAGTTGGGGTTAAGGGCCTTACTCAGGAGCCCAATGGAGGAGGATTCCTCTGCCAGCTGCGGGATTTGAACCAGCAACCTTCTAGCCACAGGCACAGATCCTTAGCCACAGAGTCACCCTTGAATGCTTGCATACTTTAAGGCCATTTCTACCTCATAGAAATGCTGTCATAGAGAAAGGGCTTAGTGTTTCTTTTGGAACATAGCCACAGATGCTGTGTTAGCTTAGGAGCTACAGTTATAATAATAATAATAATAATAATAATAATAATAAACTTTATTTTATATAGTGCCTTTAAAGGTGGCTTCTCAAAGCACTTTACAGGATGACAATAACAATAAATAAGAAGACTACAACAATAAATAAGAAGATTTCACAAGATAAGACACAATTACAATTACAACAATAACAATAGAGGAGACCGTGGAAGGTGGTACTAAGAAGAGCAGAGGGGTGAAGAATGGAACCAGTTAAGTAAAGGCTTTTCTGAAGGTTCTGCAGGTTTTGAGTCTGGATTTGAAGGAGTTTAGAGAAGGTGACTCTCGGATATCCTTGGGCAAAGAGTTCCAGAGCTTGGGGCATAGCAGGAGAAGGCCCTGTCACCCATACAATGTAGACGGGCTTGGGGGACAGTAAGGAGGGCAGAGTTTGAAGAGCGGAGGTTGCGAGGTGGGGAGTAGGGCGATAAAAGTTCAGACAGGTATTGAGGTGCCAAGCCATGTAAAGCCTTATAGGTGAGCATGAGGATTTTAAAGTCTACGCGGACTTTGACCGGAAAATTTGACAGTTCCCATAAAACCCACTGGATGACTTCCAGATGTCATCTATTGAGTCCCTATGCTGCCTGGCCATGGTGAAGTCCATGGTGCAGGTCCCTCCCAGTGCAGGCAGCTTACCATTGGTGATTTATTGTCACAGAAGGGATCTATTTTTATTTTTATTTATTTAATTTAGTGCCCTTTTAAGTAGCATCACAAAGTGCTTTACAGGAGGTGTAAAAACACAGTTGAAACCAAAGAAAACATTGGAAATGGTACCGCAATGCTATCACAAATACAGACTTTAGTACTTTAAAATATTTTTATTTCTTAACTAAATGAATTTTGAAGAGAATATCTTACATATTGTATTTGAATTGGAATGCGTGATCTTTCACACAGATATGCTAAATTGCCTTTCAGTCATGCAGGTCCCACCCAAGCGTTCCTATATATTTGGACTACTAGCTCTGACATCAGGGGGAAAAAAAAGACAAAAGAAAAAATATGTATAACATTTCTGGACTTTGTGAGTAACATTTATTAAGTTTACAGCATTAAAATACATGTAGGTTTTTATTTTTAAAGGATTTCTTTAAAATGGAACAAGTGTCGTCCTCACCAAGAACAGTACTGTAGTTTTTAATTAAGCATGAGACGCTTGGGGAGAAAAACTACATTTCCCGGTGTCACACACGTTAAAGAATTACGTGGATATCCACAGATATCCATAGTGTACATAGTGTAGCTTAATACAGTATTACCACTGCTTTTGTAGACTGCCTATATATATATAATACATGCAATTATTTATACCACTCTTTTGCAAATGACCATTAAAGTGATATTAAAATGTTTTGAGAAACAAAATATTAACAACCATGTTACATTTTAAAATGGTAGGTAGGCTTTGTATTTCCATAACATATAAGATATTAAATGTCAGATTTTCAAGAAATACTATAATTACAGTACACTCAGAAAAACGTTTTAATTAAACTTTTGTCTCAGTAACACAACACAAGTGCCACCTAGCAATCTGTTTTCAGCTATTAAGTGCCGTAAACAGTATGCTGGACAGGACTGACTATACTGTAGTATGCTTTCTGCTGACATGAATTTTGATGTTGAATATACTAGTAGGTTGATTGATTTCTGGGAAACTAGCCCTGGTGTGAGTGTGTGCGTTCAGGGTCTGTCCAACCTTACGCCTGTTGGTTGCATGCCCCGCAACCCTGAATTAGAAGAAGCAGTTAAGAGTATGGATGGACCGAATGAATGTACTACTGTGGTGAGAGAGGAATTTTACTGAAGGTGGAGACATCTCTTCCTGTATTGACTTTTTTGGAATGGGCTTTTATTCTTGTGTTTTTTTCTTCTCACACTGCTTGTCTGGCTTGCTTTTTAGAAGTTGTATGTTATTTAACTTGTTGTTGCTGCTTCTGCTCTGTGTTTATGTTTTGGTTGCTCCTTAATGTCTTTGTATCGGAGTATACATGCAAATAAGTATTTAGTTGCACTTGTGCATATGACAAATAAACTGAGCTGAACTAATTTTATAGTTGCTGGTCTGTAAGATATTTAATATTCATGTTTTGTAGTGAAAAATTCTTCTTTATATAGTAGGTCTGTTTCTTCTTCTGCCATACAATAAACAGAATTGAAAGAATGTCTAAAGGGGTTTTTATTTTTCTGTTTAAACCAATACAATAACATCACATTTTGCCAGTGAAAGTTTTAAAAATGTAAGTTTTTAAGTTTTTTTTCTATAACTTTTTCCCTTTATATTTTTTTAATTCAGTTTTGTAAATGAGGTAATTAAGTGGATTGGGGGCAGGAAGTGTTGAGGTATTTAGGAAAGCTAAAAATGCTTATTTTATGTTTTGTTGCAGCTCCTGAAATTTTGCGAGGGTGTGCTTATGGACCTGAAGTTGACATGTGGTCTGTAGGAGTGATTACATATATCCTGTAAGTTACGTTATTCACAGAATTAAGTGATTCTGGTTTTGCTTTACAGTGAGCTTCTGAGTTTTTGTGTCTTTTGATTGTAGAGAGATTTTCTTTTATAGTCACTGCCTTGAAAAACCCTGTAGTATGTTAAAATCATTCAGTACATTCAGTATTTGTGAGAGTACAGAAAAAAATCAGATTAATGCTAATGATATTAACATCCCTGCATTTTGGAGCAGATGTTTTTTTGTACACATGAACCATCTGGCTGCTTACTGTCTTAAGGACGCTTTTTGACACAACCTTACAAAACAAAATATTCTAAAACAATTAGTAGCTTCTCTTTACCTACAACAATATAACTATGAATCTAAACCTCTAACGCTATTGGTCTTTTTGTCCAAGTTACTTTCACCCTGTTTTCCATTCAAATGTGAAAACAAACAACCAATAAAACAATTAATTAAAAACAGGTGAAAGTGTTTAACCAGCAACAATTACAGTAAACCTTTGGTTTAGCGGACTTCAAATGTAACACACATGTGTTATATGTTACTGTATAGGTATGCTTTAGCAAATTTTATACAGTACAGTATACTTACAACACATGAAATAAAGAACTTTCAATTATTATGATGACAAAGGCACAGGAACAATTTTCATTAACTGTAATTTGTATTACAAAAATATGTTCAAAGATCCAGAAATCATATAATATAGATTATATAATATATTTTTAATAATAGTATATATTTCTAACACTATTTGTAATTTGGATTTAAAGGACATTTGGTAATAAAGGACACAACATCCACTATTAATCTGTTAAACCAAGGGTTTACTGTAAGTGTATTTGAGACTGCATTTTGGCAGCCTCTAGTGACAGACATGAAGTCATACATTGGACAACTTGATGATGATGATCATCATCATCATTTATCTATAATTGTACCAGGTTAGTGACAAAGAAAACCAATTTCTGAAAGTTAACATTTGAATTGTTATATCTAGGGCCTGGTCTGAACTTTAGGATAGAGGAATTTGAATTTATGCGTCAGGATAAATTGCAACAATGTGGATTCAATTGATGTGGCTAAACTCTTATGTCAGTTAGACACAAGCATATATGAGTAGAGGTTAGATAACTGTGATATACGGTATTGCTAAAAGTAACTCAGTAACGTTTCATATCTTCCTGTCACCACCACCTTTATTTTTTATATTTTATTTCTTAAATGCCCATTTTTTTCCCTAGCATTAATTTTTATGTTTGCCATGTACTGTGGAATTTAAACTTTGCCTTCTTCCTTGAAGTGTTCCTGCAGAGTTACTGTTATAAAAGTTGTGTACTCTTGCTGTCATATCGCATTTCATCTAACAATGTTTTAGGAATAGCAATTTATTTATTAATAAAAATGGGTGGTTAAGCAGATATTTTGATTATTTACAAAGGGATAAATGATTTGTCATGTGATTAGCCTTAATAAACCTTTAAATAGCACTTTTAAGTTTAAGAGTTTAAGCTGTTTCATTTTTCAAATACTTCACATTACTGTAATGATTAAGCACTGAACCCCATTGTTTATTTTTGTGCTTATTTTAGAAAGAATGTTTTTGCCCTACAATAAATTGAATGACTATTGACAATAATGGCAGCCAAGTGCTAGCAAAAAATGACAGTTCTCTAGCTTAAAGCAACACTGCACACTTGTTCTTCTGGACATCTCTATGAAACTGTGATTTCTACTTTGAGGAAAGCAATAGCCTAGAATTGTGCACCAAGCAAAACACATTGGTGTTCACATGTAGATTTCCAGTACAGCATAGTGTAATTGTTGAACCATATATCATGGAAGTTTATGAAGACCATTGCTTTGCCATGACCTAAAAATAGCAGAAATTAATATCTGCCCTTGAATACAGTGTATGGCCTTCAGGATACAAGAGAACATACTGTATAGGTTCTTTTTATGCATCCATGAAATAATAATTTTAAACTTTATTTCCTATTTGACACTAAAAAGTAAGTTTGAAAAATATCTTTGTTGGATGCACCATGCTTTTCTGCAGCTGCATTGATATAACACCCGATTGTAAACCACTTTACTTGACAGGAAATTCAAACTTCCATATGTGTTACTGTCAGAAAAACATCTGCTGTCTGACACACATTCTCTTGTCTGCTTTTGTCATGTTAGACTATGCGGTTTCGAGCCATTCTTTGATGAAAGGGGGGATCAGTACATGTTCAAAAGGATTCTCAGCTGTGACTATGAGTTTGTCTCCCCCTGGTGGGATGATGTTTCCCTAAATGCTAAGGATCTGGTGAGTAGGACATTCTCTGGAATAAAAAAGGCCTACTGGTTGTCATTTCCCTAATCTCTTATTTGCTTAGTTTAACTTAATAGTTAGCCTTTTATGAAATTCAGTAGATATTTTACCAATACAAAAATCTGACAGTGTAATTGAAAATGTATTACCAATACGATGTCTTTTTTGTCTAAAAATACATTTTTAAATTCACTAGACAAACAATGCATAATTAAAACCAGACCAACAGATAGACAGGGTTTTGTTATATGCTTTGATTTTCTCCAAAACACGTTTTGGAGGATGTTCAGGTTTGATTAACTGATTCCTCATAGGCTTGGATTTCCAACTCCTTACATTATGTGCCCAAACTATATGTGTAGTAACTTTGATATCTCTTCATCATTCCAGTTTGATCACTCACTTCTTATCTGTTTCCTGTCCATTAACCAGTTTTGTACCACACTTTACCTTGAATGCCTGCTACCTACAATTTGAGAATTCATTTTTATGAGGAACCTTATCAAAAGCATATACACATATACTGTACCGCGTCATGTGCTTGTTCTGTATTCTTTGCTGCTGTTGCTTGTTCAAAGAACTCTAGCATGTTAGTCAAGTAATTATCTTTAAAGCATATGATCTTCTAGATTAGTTCTTATTATTGTTTCCATAACTTTATATGTAACAAAAGTAAGAATTATTGGTATCACTTTGTTAAAATACATTGCTTCTTTATGTTATTCATCACTTTCCAACACTTCACTGATGATGTTTAAGGTAGACAAGTGCAGGGTATTGCATAGTAAAAACATAAACTATAAATACAAAATGTGAAACACTGAGCTAGAAGAGACTACTTACAAGAAGTGGTGTTTATATTGACATTAAAAGGGTAAAACTTAAATCAAAAGGCATTAAATTAAAATTGACCTCAAAAGACCTCAATTAGAATATGTTCAATTTTAGTCATCACTAGAAAATGTATTACTGCTCTGGAATCCAACCAGAGAAGAGCAACCAAGTATATTCCAGGGGTTAAGAGAATTACCTGCATTGACAGGCTTAAGGAACTGAACCTTTTTTATTCTTGAAAAGAGAAAACTATGAAGGGACCTGATACAAGTATTCAAAAATGACAAAGTCAACACAAACAATTTCTGAATGAACCGTGCAACATGAACCAGAGGGCACAAATGGTAACTATTTCAAAGGGTACTACTATATTAGCAATTTTCCAGTCAGTCAGTATTACCCCAATCTCAAGAGATTACTGGCAGAGCTCTGTAAACAGCTTGTTTTCTTAAGTACAGTTGGTCGAATATAAGCAGGCCCTTGTTTATTTTAAGTAATTCTATTACCTAGAACACCTGTGCCACTTCTATGTTAATATTATATCAGCCTCGACAAATTGTCTTTATTGGCAAACGCCTGAGTGAGATATTTATTGAAAGCATTAGCCATTGCCCTTTTATCATCTAATGGTTTCCAATTATCTCTGAGATAATTTTAATCCTTTACTGTTCTTTTGCAGTTGTAGTACTTAAAAATAATTTAACTTGTATTGAAAATGAATAGACATTTTAATTTGATCTCATGTTAACACTGAAAAAGCCCCAGTAATATATTTTTCTGTTCTGCAGGTAAAAAAGTTGATTGTTCAGGATCCTAAGAAGCGCCTCACTACCCTGCAGGCTTTGCAACACCCATGGGTGACAGGGAAGGCAGTTAACTTTGCACATATGGACACTGCGCAGAAGAAACTGCAGGAATTCAATGCTCGCCGCAAGCTCAAGGTAGGTGAATAACAGCAATAATAAAAATAACTAATTCTAACTGAAATATATTTTTCTGTATATGAAACAGTAACAGATGTTCTTCAAGTTTTCAAATTTAACAGATTATCTTAATCTGTTAAATTGGGTCCATCTTGTTAGCAATATGAAAATAATATGATCCAGAAGGAAAACTGAAAGTTATGAACTGTTCTTGTTATGAACATAAAGACTTAAGGTATGGGACACACTAAATAAAAATGAAAATTGTTATTTCCAGGATTGTAAGGTGTCTTTCTGTAGATAAAGAGACCATTTTTTACTTCAACCAGAATAAAATAGTTTATTCTTTGTCTTGAAAAAACACTATTCTTTTATAAAGCCTTTTGTACTTTTGTATCTTTATAAAGTTCACATTTACAACCTCTTGAAAATGTGTGTTGTGATCAGGCTGCAGTGAAGGCGGTGGTAGCTTCCTCTCGGCTGGGGAGCGCTGGCAGTCATGGCAGCCATGACAGCAGCAAGAACAGCCGGAACCACTCACCCATTCAGGAGCACGAGCCTGAGGTGCATCCGTCGAAGGAGCAGGAGCAGGATCCGGGACAGATCGGGGAGGAAGACTCCTAGATCCCATCCTATTTCTTCTCGAGCACTGCTTGGGAACGCCCTCAAGAAGTCCCAGAACTTCTTAAAGGTGGATATTCCAACCGAAAGTCACAATTTACAGGCTGGGACTATGACACTTAACTCACTCCTAATGCATGTGAATGCTTTATCAATTAAAGAAATGTAGTCATAAAAACTAGCACGAGACAGCCTTTTGTGACGTGAATGGGCACAATGTTATAAAATGCCAACAAGTGTTTAAAAACACACAAAGCTGATCTGTTTCTGCAATAGTCCATTCATATGCATCTTTCCTGGTCTTCACCAGGTAATATAGATTTTCTTTTTGCTAATTACAATGGTTGTATTTTAATGTTTACTGTTACTTTGTTTAATTCTATTTTTTTTATATATACAGATTACATCTCATGGTATAGTTAAGCATTTTAGGATTGTTGCTGATGGTTTGTAATGATTACCTTTCTATTACATCTCGATATCTGCTTTGAAAGTACAATATTTCAAAATGTTTACAGAACTAATTGTTTTAGATTTATATGCAAAATACATTCCGTTAAGAATAGAGAAGATGGCAAAAAAGATCCAAATGGCCATAAATTATAACTTGCCCAATTCTGTAAAAAGAATGCCTTATTGTATCTTCACTTGTTTATACATTTTAAAAGTGTCAAATGAAGAAAATAACTTTAATACCTTGTAAACTAGTAGACTTTTAGTATAAGGGTTTATGTGTTAAAAAAACACATGGTTTGCTCTGTTATAATTAGGAGACTACTTTGTAGAGATAAACTGTAACTATTAGTTTTACTGTAAGATATTTACAGGGTTAGCTTTGGTATTTAGTACAGTTGACTTTTGTATACCAAAATACCCAGTTTACAACTGAAGAGGTCCCCTGTTGGCTACTGCAACACTAAAATGTTGCTTTGCACTGGAATGGACAGTACAAATATCATTTGAATAATCAGCAATAGTGCCAAATACACTTGCTCTTAAAGGTGATAGGAAAAGAACTTTAACCATTTCTTTTTATTTTAGAATTTGTTAGTAAACACCAAGATATAAAGAGATACGGTCAAATATAATAGTTTGAATGCAAAAAAACAGTAAAATGTATAGTTTTCTTTCCCTCATAGTAACTTTAAAACAACATCTATGAACAAAGTTAATAATGCCTTTTAAAGCCAAAGTTTAAAGCCAAAAAAGAGAATCTTAGTTTCTACAGATTTCAATTCATGAAACAAAGAAACATATGATGTAATGTCAAAGTGGTGGGATGTAAATAAAACTTCAGTAAATCAGAAAAGTTAAACTGGGATAGATTTCTATTAGACTTAAGATGTACAGTAGAAACAATAGTTTCTGCCAGAACAAATCAATAAAACTATCTGGTCCCCAGTGATTTCAAGACTCCTTTCTGAAGCTAGTTGTGGGTCATGGAGAAAACAGAAATAAAGAAAAGCACTTAATTCAGCTTACACCTTGCAAAAAAAGAAAGTAAGACAGTGTGTCACACAAAAACAGCAGAACTTGATAATGAAACCTTCAAGCAAGATTATTAGCAAAGCATCCAAAGAGCTTAAGAGCCTTATTTTGGAAGTATCAGTATATTAAAGATATCATGCCTGGTTCACACAGTGAATTGAATCTAGTTTTTTTTTAACACATACTGTTTGAATAACAAAATCTGGAGTGATTAAAAAAATCTGTCATATTGTGTACTGATGAACTGTCATCTCCAGGAAGGGTCTGGATTACTTTGACTGGCTCATCTCCAGTACTGCTCAAAATTCTCTTTAGTTCAGCTGGGAAGGTGGTTTTAGACGGGGCTGTATTTGTAAGGTACAGTAGCTGAAAGACAAACGAGATGACAGTGGGAATGAGAGAGAATTATGTGACAGACAGTGATGGAGAGTGTTCCAGGAAAGGAGGAAACAGAGTAGGTGGCAAAGAGAAGAAAATGACACACAGAGAAGGGAGTTTTGGACTATGCTGCCAAACTGGCCAGGCAACTACAAACTGCTGCTGTCTGTTGTCAACAATACCTGTAATTTTATATAATTTTCGTAATTCTATTTTTTACTCCCCCTGCCTCTCAGCTGGGAGTGAAAATGGTAGGTGTGTAACTGTGACAACTCTTGACATCACACACCACATTCTCACTCTTGTTCTGAACTTTAAAGTAAGAAAGCATACAAAATGAATAAACAAACTTTTGCTTTGAAGACAATGTTATCCTATTTGTTAATCAATAACAAAATTCAAAATGAAAAGAAAAGGTCAAAATCCTTTTCCTCTTACCTTTTTGGACTGTACTGCTATATATGTTATCTCTTCTGAAATGTACCTCCTTGTCGGTCCTAAATCTGTAGATATACCTTTGTTATACACTATGGTGTAATTCCTTTTAATTGTATTTATTATTGGCTAATGGGCTGAATCTGTCACAAAAACCAGGCAGCTTTTTTAATGAACTATATATATATATTTATAGGCAGTTTGTTAAAAAAACAACAAAAATGGTTATGATAAAGAGCTAACCTTGTGTTCCACGCAGTGTACTTGCCAGCATGTGTGTACTTCATTCCAAAGGCTTCAGGGAATGCTGTGGCCAAGATGTATTCTATTGTCCTCTCCCCGGAAGACCGCAGTGCTGGTTTTAGTCAAACTCTTCAGCGGAGACTGTGAACGGCTGTGATCCTGAGGATATTGTTTTGCATGTGGAAATGTTAAACTAATCTGCTGCAGTTGTCTTTCAATAATGCACTGTATTTTAACTACTTATATAAAATAAATGATATGTTTAATGGTCCAAAGTGTGAAAAGTCTTCAATTTAGAAAATGTAAAGGACCAAGAAGAAAGCATTAAGGGTTGAGTACCAGTACATTTCAATATATTTGGTAAAATTGTGATTTACAACTGTTCTGTCCTGCTGTCCTGAGCCAGGGCCTATCAGAGGGGAGGCCAGCAAGGCCTTTTGGCCAGGGCTTCACACAGAAGAGGGGCCTTAGATTTTGAAGGATAAAATATTTTTAACTACGGGTATTTTTAAAACTCATTTCTCCCACACTTTTCAAGCCTAACAATTTATCTGGCTTTGGATGTAATACATTTACAGTATGTTTATTAATCTGCTACTTTTTCCACTTGAAGTGGGATTTAGTGACCAGATAACAGGCACAAAAGAATGGTGCATGAGTATGAAATTGTAAGCCAGTGTAAAGTTTTAATTTATTTTGAGACATTCTACATATAACAAATTATTTTACGAAAATGGGGGCAGTGTAAATACATTGACATTAATAAACTGATCATTATTTACTGTTACAATGAAGAGAAGATTTGATAGCGGTGCAAGTAAGAGATGGTGAAAAAGCCAAAATGATGCAGCCATGAAAAGCTTAAAGCCGAAACATAATTGTAGAAAAGACTCCTGGATCATTAAATGGTACTATCAATATTCTAACAGAGAAACTCTTGAGACAAAAAGAGGTGTTGAAGAGCTTCAGCATCAGGCATTCAATAGATGGTGAAGATGGTGTATTTGTCCAACAGAAGAAAGAGATTTACTGGCATAGATTTAGCACTGTCTGCATTGGATTCTGAAATAGGACTTTTTGACAATAATGCTGCACAGATGGAATTGTTTTTGAAGGTTAGTTGCTTTTCAATTCTGAGTAATATTCCAAAATATGGTTTAAATCATGCTTTTCCTACTCACATGTTGATAAAAGCTCTCCAAAATGGTGAGATCTGAAAAAGAGACTGTCTTTGCTGGAGTTTGGAAAAGAAATGCCTGTACTCTGTACCCTGCATGGTCTGATTCATCAAGCTGGAGCATCACCAGAGACTGGAGAAAGATAAAAGATCAAATACTTAAACACGTAAATTCATCACATTTTAAAGATAACTATGTTTGATGAAAATCTGTTAGTGGAGCAGCATCAACTAACAAATCTGTTGAAGTAGAGAAATTGTTAAATGGAGAAAAAATATTGAAAACAAATTGGATGTCATTATTTTCCTTGCTGAAAAAGGATCAGCTTTCTTTGGCTTTCTTTGGCACCAATCAACATTGGACTCTAAAAATGGAAACTTTCTTAGTATCATTTAGTTTTTTTGTAAGTATGACCCACTGTTGTCTGAATATCTTAAGCATCTTCATGAAACACAACTGAGACAAAAATGCATACAGGTTCATTATCTTTCCACAAGAATACAAAATGATTCCATGTGGGACTTTTGTAGAAACAACACTTCTAAAGTTATGAAATGTGAAGTACTTACAGTATGAGTTATTCGTGATGCAACTCCAGTCTTTTCTCATAATTTGCAGACAACCTTAATCATTCGATATGCAAACATTGCAGAATGTTTAAAAGTGTCTTTGATGATTTCACAAAAAGGGAAGATGCTTAGGTTCTTAATGTCCCGAAAGGATTTAAGTTAAATTTTCAATTCTACATTGGCCAATTCATACATACAGTATGACATTGGATCCAATTCAGCTGGGAAGCACAAAGGAGCAGTTCTGCTAAAACAGAATAAAAATAAACACAACTGGATCTTGTTGGGGTTGACTGTGCTGAATTGTGCAAGGCAACAATCATGTTCTTTGGAATTGTTTCAAATGTACAGTCTTTTTAGTAGGAGTTCTTGAAGGTGGTAAATTTTTAATATGTAGATTCCTATTTCACTCTAGGTATGTTATCAACCAGATGATGGCCTATGTGTATTAATGGTTTGAAACATTTGGATTATTTGAGAAAGGCTTTAAAAGAGCTTGAAGATCTCACTCCCACATCGCAGGCTCATACTGAATGTAAGTCTATATAGAAGTTAATGTCAAAATATGAATATATCTTACTGTCATCCATATGGATGAAACTGCTTAAAATGATTTCCAAAACTGTACTTGTGATCGAGAAAATAATAATAATAAGCCTTATTTTATATAGTGCCTTTAGAGGTGGCTTCTCAAAGTGTTTTACAGAATGACAACAAGAATAAAGCCATACACATGATATGCACAGTAAAAGAACACAATGAGAGGAGACAGTAGAGGGGGTTCTAAATACACTAGGAGCAGAGGGGTCAAAAACAGAAACAGTTATGTTAAGGATCTCAAAAGAAGAAGGTTTTGAGTGTAGATTTGAAGGAATGTAGAGAAGGTGACT